ACGTCGATGTTCGTACTGCGTGGGGGAGTTGTGTGATATCGGAGATGCAAGGTCCAATTTACCTTGGCTGTTTCTCCGTTTGCAAAAGTGAACTTGGTCTCGGCCGGGATGTACTGATAGGAGATGAGGTCTTTCATGGGTTCGATGGCCTGAGTAAAACGCTGGATTGCACGCCAGCTGCCCATAGATCTGGTACATCCATTGTCCCGAATCGCATAGGTCGGATTGCGCTGAGGGTTGATGAAAGGCGCCATCAGCTTGGTTGCCAAAAGGCTGTGATCTGTTGCGACGGACAAATTGTGTTCTGAAACTGCATCTGATTGGATCAGCTTCCCGTGGATGGCCTCTTTCTCATGATGCTCATATGCGTCATGGAATGCCATTAGCGCTTGTCCTGTGCTGGATGTCTCAGGGATGAGTACCAGCCTTGTTCGTTCCATGTCCATGATTGATCCCAATCTTGGTCTGTCCAACCGGCATAGGTAGGCTCTGTGGGTGGTGCAGTCTGCTGGATGGCGGGCTGCTCCTCCGTCTTCTCTGCGATGGCTGCGAGCGTCTTGGATTTTCCTTTGTCATGTCCGCCCTTTCCGTTGCCATTCTCATAGGATGGATAACCCTTGTTTCCATCATAGGGATATTGGAATTTTGATTTTCCTTTCTTTCCCTTCTTTCCTTTGCCTTTTCCCCAATATGCCTGGTCGTAGGGATCATAGTTTTCATTGGCCATATTGGCCTTCCCGCCAGAACCGCTTTTTCTGAAGGGTTTGAAGCCACCTCGTTGGTGACTGCCCTTTTTGTTTCCTGATTTTCCTTTTCCTTTTCTCTTCTTGAATCTGAAATTCCGCCCTGACACTTTTCTTGCTATGAACGCATCGTTCTCCTCGAGGACCCAGAATGTCTCTTCATCGTTGTTTGACATGAATCCTTCAAGTCCTTCTTCATCCTCAACCCAAAAGCCTTCTTCTCCTTCGTATTCAGCTTGTTCGATGATGAAGAAGGTCTTGCTTCGGTTGCCTCCTTGAGGTCGGATGGACGGATCTTGAATGGATGTCCTGGTTGTGAGTTCATGGTAATTCGTCAGCATCTCATAGGAGTAGTTCTCTAGTGAAATGTTTCTCAGTGACAATGCACCGGTCAGTCTTTCTCTCTGCTGATCTGACAATTCACTCTGAATGATGAAAAAATGCGCAATGAGATTATCCCCGAAGGGAAATGCGTCCCGCTGTCTGTCCTGCATCCCCGTGATATACTGTCTGAGGACTGTTGGATCACCCTCATCGAGCAGGACTGGAGGCGGTACTCGGGCACCAGCTGCTTGCTTGTTCTTGCATTTGCGTCCTGTACGGACTGTCGAAATGATGGTGACTGTGCCGTGAAAACTGGCATCAAGTCCATCCATGCTGCCTTCAATCGCATGAGAAGGATTTCGGAATTTTGATGTAAAAACGAGGAACTCTTGGTTCTGCCTTCTATGATTGAAGAAACTGAGGAGCCTGTACAGATACACGTTGGTCGCACCTTTCAAAAGTACTTCTTCAGCGTGTTCTTGAAGTAGTTGACTCCTTCATTTTTGGGGGACTGCCTTGTACAGAAAGGCATCTCCTGTTAGTCTGCTTTTGAGCAGAGGTCCTGTCTTGGGTGCTTCCACCGTAGTGATTGTCACGCCCACTGCCGGGGTGCCTATCCCAGAAGGGAACTGGTACCCTGTGGTAGTAGAGGTCGTTGATTTGGTCCCTGGATCTATTCCGGAGAGAGTCCAATACGCCAATATGGAGGATTGGAGGATGGATTGTCCCTGGTGGCTTGTATTGACTGTTCTACCTGTAAAGCGGTCTGCAAAGCCTTTTATCAATGTACCATGCGTCTAGTGACTGTACAAATGACTTGATGGGCCTTGGGCCATCATGTCAGCGGAGTGTGTGAATAGGTCAATGTGCAACAAAAAGCAACACAGGGGGGGGGTGCCCTGGGGGGGAGGTCGGTGTTGGGGCACGGAACGAACAGCGCGGAACAGCACGGATCGATCGGCGCGGATCAGCGCGGATCAGCGCGGACCGGTTTGGAGGGGGTTTGTTGGGGGCGGTTGGGGGGGTTTGGGGGGGTTTTGGGGGGGGGGGCTTGCGGGTGGGGGGCGTTGGGGGTTTAGTGTGGGCGGGGGTGAGTGTGGGCGCTCTTGTAATTCCTCAACCCCACATCAACTCCACTCCAACTGCCCTCCAACTCCAACCGACTCCACTCAAACCCACTCCAACTTCACTCCGCCCCAACTTGACTCCAACTCCACTCCAACCCCACTCCGCCTCCACTGGAACTCCACTCCAACTCCAACTCAACCCCCAACTCCACCCCCAACTCCACTCCAACTCCACTGCAAATCCAACTCCACTCCACCCCCATTTCCACTCCACTCCAACTCCACGCCAACTCCACTCCAACTCCACTCCAACTCTCTTACAACTCCACTCCGGCTCCACTCAAACTCCACTCCAACTTCACCCCAACTCCACTCCAACTCCACTCCACTCCAACTCCACCCCAACTCCACTCCAACACTCCAACTCGCCTCCAACCCTCCTCCAACTCCCCAACTCCAACCCAACTCCACTCCAACTCCACTCCAACTCCACTCCAACTCCATTACAACTCCTCCACTCCAAACTCCACTCCAACTCCAACCCAACTCCACTTTAACTCCACTCCAACTCCACTCCAACGCCATTACAACCTCACTCCGACTCCACTCAAACTCCACTGCAACTCCAACTCCACTCAACTCCCTCCACTCAAACTCCACTCCAACTCCAACTCCACTCAACTCCAACTCCACTCCAACTCCATTACAAGTCCACTCCGACTCCACTCTAACTCCCAACTCCACTCCACTCCAACTCCAACTCCCACTCCAACTCCACTCCAACTCCACTCCAACCCCACTCCACTCCAACTCCAACGCCATTACAACCTCACCCCGACTCCACGCAAACTCCACTGCAACTCCAACTCCACTCAACTCCGACTCCACTCCAACGCCATTACAACCTCACCCCGACTCCACTCAAACTCCACTCCAACTCCAACTCCGCTCAACTCCAACTCCACTCCAACTCCATTACAACTCCACTCCGACTCCACTCCAACTCCCAACTCCACTCCACTCCAACTCCAACTCCCACTCCAACTCCCACTCCAACTCCCACTCCAACTCCACTCCAACTCGACTCCAACCCCACTCCACTCCAACTGCAACGCCATTACAACCTCACCCCGACTCCACTCAAACTCCACTGCAACTCCAACTCCACTCAACTCCGACTCCACTCCAACGCCATTACAACCTCACCCCGACTCCACTCAAACTCCACTCCAACTTCAACTCCACTCAACTCCAACTCCACTCCAACTCCATTACAACTCCACGCCGACTCCACTCCAACTCCCAACTCCACTCCACTCCAACTCCAACTCCCACTCCAACTCCCACTCCAACTCCCACTCCAACTCCACTCCAACTCCACTCCAACCCCACTCCACTCCAACTCCACGCCAACTCCACTCCAAGTCCACTCCAACTCCAACTCCAGTACAACTCCATTACAATTCCTGTTTGCCGGCCAAAACGGGGGTAGCGCAATTTTCCGCCACCCCTTTTTGCCAGCCGAAGGGAGTAGCGCAATTTTCTGCCACGCTTCGTGCCACCCCTTTGCGCAAGCCATCGAAAACACTTGTTTCCTCTTGTTCACCGAAGACCCTGCGTGCTAAGCAGGTTTCCACATTTTCCACGTTTGCACCCGGCCTTGCATCCATACAAAACTATCGAAAACACTGTTTTTTTGTTGGGTTCACCGAAAACTTGAAAAACCCCGCTAATGCTTGAGGTAAGGTTGCGGAAGTCATGAAAACACGTGGAAAATCAATGTTTTTGGTGGCGTTCTGGAAGTGAACAAGTAGCAAAAACCACGTGTTTTTGATGGCTTTGTATGGATTCAAGGACGCGTTGTTGCAAAAATCATGAAACCACGTGGAAAATTCATGCTTTTCGTTGCGTTTCTGAAAGGTGCATCGAACTTGCTGGCAGACCCTGCGTTTTCCCATGCTTGTTGGTGGGCGCGAACCCCGAAGATGTGGACACCTGCTTAACAGTTGGCCTTCACCGGTCTCTTGCCACGTTAAAACGGTTTGTACGTGGTTTTGGGCCTTGACGAGGGGGTCTGGGGATGAAAACTTCGCATCTCCCGGCGCCCGGCTGTCAGACGTAAGCCTTTAATCCGGGCGCCGGGCAGGTGAGCCCGTGCTTTCCCCGGAGGCCTTCGGGCTTTTTCAAACCGAAGGTTTATAAGGGCCGCGCCCCCTGCCGCCGACCCACCGGTCGATTCCGGTTCAGAAACCTTGCTGCCAGGGGGGAAAACGTGTTCGGGCGCCATCAAGACTTCTTCCAAAAAGCCTTTCACTCCATGAAGCACTGTTTTTTAAAGAAATCGGAGGGATATAAGCGAGGCTGCATTTTGGCGCCAAGCGCTACTAGGCATGCTGGCGATGCTGGGCCCTCGCTCTACAAAACATTGTAAATACCGTCAAAACTGCTGTGCTGAGCGGTGGGCTGTTGTTCTGTCCGTTTTGCTTTTGCTGTGGCTGGCTCGCGTGCTGCGCGGTCCTTGCTTTTTTCCCGTTGGTTTTGGGGCCTTCTGGGGCGCGCGCGCGCGACCCCAGCCACAAAATGCTGATATTTACGGTGTGTTGTTGCATTTGCGTTTCCGGGCTGGGGCCCAGAAAGCTGGCATCCCCGGCATCATGTGGGGTTCATGCGTAACCTGACCAGCCATATCGTAGCACATGACATGACATGGCTCAAAGAGGTGTAGCCGGCTAGAGACCGCAGGCCCAGAAATAATTGACCCATAGTCGGTTTTCGTTTGTGAACCAAACACAAGAGAAAGGGGTCAAAAAGGGCGCGTCCGCTGCAACTAGAAGTGGGAGTCTCAGCTCTCAGCTCAGGCACGGACATGAAACAGTCCCAGCACAGAGTACACCAGAATCGACACACTCCTGGCTTATCAGTCAAAACCACACCCCTCTCACCTCCAGCGCCCATCCCTTTTCGAGAAGAAGCTTGTTTGCGAAAAGCGTAAGCATGCCAACACACACCTCCAATGTGCTGGTTTCTGACAACCTTCAGTTTGCAGCCACACAAAGTACAAGGAGCACAAGGCAGGCGGACAAGTGCACCATGTAGATGCTGAACATCCTCAAGTCATTCACAGCCAAGTTGCGAAAAACTGTCCGCGTGACTGCGCACCTCATTTGAAAAAGGCTGCTTCACCGAGACCCCCGCGTCAGGGAGAGAAGCACGCCCCAGCGATATTGACAAATCGCGCAAACCTCGGTGTTCTGACACGGCCGGCGGTCGACACAGGCTGCATGTTTGACTCTTCCTCTGCGAACTTGCTCTAGCCGAGCTTGATTGACTGTCGCGGCCACAAGCTCATCAAATGTCTCTGGCGCTGGGAGCAGCGCCATCAGACTAAAGGTTCCTCCGTAAATCACCAGGGCCGGCCTTGGAGCTGCGTGTGTGCTCCAAGGGGGTAACCTTTGGGCTCATACCACGGCGCCCCCGTGATAAATCTGGTGATATACTTTGGTTTACCCAGGCTGTAGACCCTTTACCGTTTACCAATATCGTTCAGCTTGTTTGTTAAGTCTTGCAGGGGCACCTGCTCGGGGATATGAGGCTGGACCCGGGAAAATGTGGGGCAAAAAGCTGAGCCAATCCCTCTAATTTCAGGACTCCAAAACACAATGAAATTCCCTTTTCAACCAACCAAATCTCCGTCGAAGACTGCCCAAATCCCGTTTGAAACCAGCCAAATACCCCCTAGAACTTTAAACCCCCGCTGGAAACATGCCAAACCCCTAGACGCCGGCCACGTTGCGCCTAGAAGCAAATTCCTTCAAGAACCCGGCCAAATTGCCCCAATTACCGCTACGAACCGTCTTCTGGCTGTCTAAGGCTGGCGCAAATACTTCAAGCGCCTGGGTCTTGCTTGCCCTTAGCTCCAACTGGCGAGTTGCGGGTGACACGCGCGGTCTTCCGGGAAAAGACTGGCGGAAGACGCGAGAAGGCTTTCCACTGAAGCTGCTGGTTCTGCCTTGTCTCCAGCAAGAAGATCTCTGTGGAGACTGTCATCGGAGGTCCGCCACCGCTTGTGCTATCTGCGCAAATGACTTTACCCTTGTAGCCACATACCTTGGCTCCTGGCTTAATCTTGGGCGTGTCTTCACTCTCGCCGGTTGCGAGTGGCTTAGATCTAAGCCACACATGCGACGCTAGGTCTTGACGCGCGTCTTCTGCTCCGCCAGTGTCAAATCTGTCCAGCAGTCGGCCGTCCTTTCGCCTTAGGAATGGTGAGCTGAGGAGGTGTAGCAACGTTCAGTTGGACAAGCTCTGCTGGTCTGCGTCCGAACGCTAGTTCTGAAGGTGTGGGTCTCAAGGATGCTGTTGGGACCTAGAGAGATTGGTCTCCAACGACACATCTGGGTTGCAAGTGGTATAGCATAGTTTTCAAGCAAGGACATACTGGTCATGTCAGCTGTTCTCCCTACAACTTCTGCAGTGAGAAGAGCTGTAGCTCCATCAAGGAAAACGGGAACATGATGTGTTCGATCGCAGATTTCTGACAGATCTTGCCGTACAGGTAATATATCTCCTTAGGCGGGCGCCAGGCCCGAGTTCTGAATCTGAACTGTTCTGCTGACATGTGATGGTGGTTTAGCTTGCAAAGTTCTTCTGGTTTCGGCGAGGTCGTGTGTGGATACGTCTTAGTGCCATTGGTTGTTTTTGATGCTCCTGGTGGTAGAGCAGCGTTGCTTGGATCAGCGGCACGCCGACCTGGTGATGGGTATGACCCTCTGCAGGCCTGTCAGTGTGTGTGTTTGTTGCGGTGTCAGCAGCTTGTCAAAAAACTGGCTGCGGCGCCAACCCACATCTTCGGTGTCCTCTTTGGTAAAGCTGCCTGAATTTGCAAGTTGTCGTCTATCCTCTTTGTAACTCGCTGGTTGTGAATCTGCTCGTGCGTGTGTGTGTGTGTGGAATTGGGCAAGCGGACGACTGCGCGAGGCGGCCGCAGCGGCAGCCACGCCACGGCCGGCTGGATTCTCCATATGTACCTCTACTCTATCTACGGTGTCGCCACGTAAACACCCGGACACTTAAGTAGGCCAACAAACATTTTTGACTACCTCCGCCAGCGTTACCGCCAGCCCGGCCGTCCAATTTCAATAGCCGATTTAGGTTGGTATTTCGCGTTACGTCTTGAAAGCCTGCCTCTGGCCCAGCCCGCCTTCTTGAACATCCGGGCGCTCCGGAAATAAAAACCGGCGAAGGAAGGCAAAGTCAGACCCAATGTAGCAGTGGTGTTGCTGTTACGTGGGCTCGCACGCTACAGTTTACACGCAGCTGTGTCCGTGAGGCCTCTGCGAAGCTTCCACGAAGCCAGCGCGGGCCAACCATCATCATGCTTCACCCGCTTCGACATTTTGAAGGGCCCACGCCTTCAATCTGGAGGCCCAAGTCGTTCTTGTCAATTTGCTTGCTGTCTGTCGCCAACTACATCTTCCGCAACCATTCAGTTGTTCTGGTATTTGTTGAAAAACAGGCCCCGTCCCAAGAAACCAGGAGATTCAAGAATTTAAGGAAATTTGGGAGTCCCTCCGGGAAAAAGTGTATTCGTATCTTTCTCGCTTTCTTTTTTGCACGACCCGCTGCGCCGCTATACCGGTGCTAGGGACTCGGGGCAGGATTTTGCGAATATGAGTTTTGCAGGGGTCTGAAACAGGTCTGACACAATCTCAGCCGCCCGCTGCGGCGTGGTACTGAGGGAGAACGATGATCTCTCAGTGAATCCAGTTTGCGGAGAGCTTGGGCCAGCTGACACCGAATTGGAACGCTGTCCGCTAGCACGCTACCCACCTGTCGCTAAAACAGTCTGAGGCCAACACGGGAGAATGGCGGCAACAAAAGGCATGTGTCAGCAAAGGTGAACGCGCTGCGCTGCCTGGTAGGGGACGTGGAGTTCTACGGATTGCGCGACGCAAGTGTAGGACCATGGCGGCGCCCTCTCTCTCTCTCTCTCTCTCTCTCTCTCTCTCTCTCTCTCTCTCTCTCTCTCTCTCTCTCTCTCTCTCTCTCGCTCTCTCTCTCCCTCTCTCTCTCTCTCTCTCTCTCTCTCTCTCTCTCTCTTTCTCTCTGTCGAAGCCTGTCAACCCGAACGAAGACTGTGGCAGGAGGCGGCTCCAACGTGACGACGCCGGATGGGTCAGGTTCTCGAGGCTGGTTGCCCTCACACCATGGAAAGCCTCCCTGACGACCGGTCAAGGTCAACTCAGATGACGGCGGTGTGCGTCGAAATGTTGAGGGAGGAGGTCCTCTGTTGGAGAGCCGAGCTCGAGGACCAAGAACGATTTGGTGAGGAGCTCAGGCTGAACAAGCGGAGCTTGATTGGATTTTCGGATCATGTTATGGGCTGCACGCTCTTTCTTCTCTTCCAAATCTCTTCATTCTATCATTTGTTGAAAACAGGTGCCATCCCAAGACACCAGGAGTTTCAAGAATTCAAGTTCATGACGAGCCACGTAGACAGGGCTTAGGTCAACTTAGCGCACTTAGCTCCGCATTCCAGGCGTTTGTGTAGCATGGAATTACAAAAGCATTGGTCTGCAATTGCTTGTTTATGTTGTCTTATCCCATCTTACCCTACCTTAAGCCTACCTTATCAAGTGATTTTTCTAGTCTGAGTTACCTTACCAAACCTCATCCTGTCTCATATTTCGTTCCCTTGTCCCAACCCATCTTATCCAATCGTACCCGGCCTACCTGTATCTACCTATCTCTCTGTCTATCCATCTATTTTTCTAACTGGTCAATCTCTCTATCTATGGCTATCTATCTATCTGAGCGCCTATCTATCTGTCCGTCTATCTAGTTGTATCCTGTTTATCCTATCCACCCTATCTATCTCATTGTATCAACCTTATCGGTTTTATATATATATATATCTCTTGTGCCTTATCGATCTTATGAATCTCATCTGCCATATCTAAGAATATCGTTCTATCCCTTATCTACCTTCTCAAATCTTACCAAGTCTTCCCCTTTGCTAAGTTACCTTTGCCTACCTCGCCCTGTATTAACTCGTCTTATCCTGTCTTACATGTTTTACACCTTCTTAACCTGTCTTATCCTGCCGCATCCGATGAACTGCTCTACCTGTATCTATCCATGTCTCTCTCTGTCTGTATCTATCTGTTTATCTGTCTGTCTCTCCAAGTGCCTATCTATCTATCAACCTGCCTAGCATCTACCTTTTTCCTATCTTATCAAGTCTTCTCGTACGCTAAACAGTGGCCCATCCTATCAATTAACGCGTGGTTCCCTATCTTATCCTGTCTTACCTAATCTAATCCTATCGTATCCTGCCTTGTCATACCCTATCCTATCTGTAACCTACTTTTCCCATCTTATCATATGAACCGATCTATATCTATCTGTTTGTCGTATCTGTCCGTCTGTGCGTCTACCCATCTACCCACCGAGGTAGCTATCTTCATTTCTATCTATCTGTTTATCTATAACAACAATACTTGTAAATACACACATATATATATATATATTGCTCAACCCCCCCCAAGACCCATGCCTAGAGTGCTGGACCCACGCCCAGAGTGTTGGACGGAAGACGTAGCACTGTGCAAATCCATAGATTTTGGCTCCTGCTGTTTGGATCGCATTCTGCTTCCAAGGGTACCTTTGATAGAAGCATGAAGTGCTGAGACTTGTAGAACTGCAACCTAAATCACAGAAAGCGCTTGATACAGTTGCGACCTAAATCATAGAAAGTTCTTCATAGAACTGCAACCTCAATCATAGAAAATGCTTTTTTGAATTGCAACCTAAACCATAGAAAGTTCTTCATCGAGTTGAACCCAAAACATAGAAAGTGTTCTTTAGAACTGCAACCTCAGCCATAGAAATTGTTTTATGGAGCTGCAGCCTAAATCGTAGAAAGTTCTTCATGGAACTGCGGCCTAAACCACACAAAGCCTTGTATAGAACCGCGACCCAAATATGAGAAACTGCTTATAAGAACTGCGACTTAGAACATAGAAATTGCACCCTTCCTCACAGAAAGGGTCTTGTAGAATTGCAAGCCTGGATCATAGAAAGTTCTTCATAGAGTTGAAAGCCTAGATCATAGAAAGTTCTTCATAGAGTTGCAATCTAAATCATAGAAAGTTCTTCACAGAGCTGCGTCCTAAATCATGGAAAGAGTGGTGTAGATCTGCAACCGCGATCATAGAAAGGCGCACCCCTAAAACATAGAAACTGTTTTGTAGAACTGCAACCTAGGTAATGAAAAAGGCCCTTTATTAGAGTTGCAACCTGACTCAAAGAAAACTCTTTATAGATTTGTGAATCATACTAACTGTTTTATAGAACTGCAACTTGAACCATTCAACATTTGATTCCTAGAATTGAAGCCTAAATTACAGAAAGGCCTTCATAGAGTTGCAACCCCAGTTAATTGAAAAAATGTTTTTAAGTGCTACCTAAATCATAGAAGGTGCTTGATAGAACTGCAGCCTAAACAATAAACAGTGTTTTATAGAATGTTCAAACCCATACTTAGGGCAAACTATCCGCTAGCACAAGCTTGTGCATCCTGGGTTACACTAAGTACTGATGCTAGAATCTAAGTCTACATAGGAAAACATGTGTTTTTTTAGGGCATCGTTTAGAAGCTGGACAGCGCATTACACATGCGTGTCTACAGCAAAACCCTCGTTTTTGAACAACAACCTGAGTATTCAAGGGGGGGGTGCCAAATCTAGATATATAAACGTATATGTATATATGTGTTCTACCATCCTCTACCATCCATCTCACCGTGTCTACCGTGTTGACCTCATATTTCACAAGCGTTGTCTATCTCTGTCCCCTCTACCTGATCTACCTAATCTACCTGTTCCTGTCATATGATAACTTAAAATATCTGAATTATCCTATAATACCCTACGTGTATCATCATGTCTTACCCTATCTTATCCTATCTTATTATGCTTCGTTCTATGAATCAACCAATTTTCTGTCAACCTATCCATCTCCCTCTATCCATCTCTCTCTATCTCACCCTGTTTATCTCATCGTGTCTATCTATTTGTCTATCTATATACCTGCGTCCTGCCTAATCCAATTTTCCAATCTTCTCCTATCTAATCTTGTCCTATCCTGCCTAGAGCATCTACCTGTCTATCTATCTCTTCTCTGATGTGTCTGTCCATCGACCTCTTCGTTCACGTTGCTGGCCGTTGCTGGCCTTGTCCACAGGGCCGAGACACGCTTGCGTTGCAAGTTTCACGTGCGTCAGGCGCGAACGCCTTAGTGGAACGGTTGGATATCCAGGGTCGCTGTTGACGTGTGTGACGGGCTCCTTGACGTCTGCTGCTGACGCCGGCACCGATGCTGGTGGCTCTGAAGGCGCGGCGTCAGCGTCACATTGCGGAGTGTGGTCAATTGTCATGTCATCTGATGAGTACTGAGCAAAACCAGAACTTGTCAATGTTCAAGAATGCCAGTGTCCTCGTAGGTGGTGAAGCACATGTGGTGCAATTGCCTTCGTGAATCTCTCCGCTACGCGCCAGCTACCCGTGGGTTTTGCGCAGCCCTTGTCAAGAATGATGCGGGTTTGATTTTCGGCCTGCTTTGCGATGGGCGCCAAGAGCTGACGGGCCTTGATTTGGTGTCGTATGTGGAACCATGACGTATGTCAAACCTTTTTTGGGCGACTGTGCTTCTGCTTGCATCAACCTCTTCGGTTGCGCCTGCTAGGTGTGATGCGATTGTTGTCGTAATCAACAAAAATGAACTGCTGTTCCATTCGGTAATCTTGCTCCCCGATCATCCGGGCATGGCTCTGCCGATGTAAGGCTTGCCTTCTACTTTCTGGCCATCCTCGCCGGAATCCTTGCCTTTGTTGCGCTTTAGCTTGTGCCACGGTTTGCCTTTGCCTTTGTTGAACCATGGTTCTTTGGAGCACTGTAGGACTGATCTGCGGCGGTCCCGTTGGCCGTGTTGCTTGTGGCTTTCTAAAAGGTTCAAAACAGCCTCTTGGGCGCTTCCCTCTTCCTCTTAGGGTTCTACCCTTGTGCCCCTTGCCAGACTTAACAGTCCGACCTGATATTCTCTATACAAAGTGAACGCATCGTAGTCTTCCAATTGCCAAACAGCTTCTTCATCTTCCAATGGTCAAAAACCTTCAACGCCCTCATCACCCTTCTGCACCGTCACAATCTCTTTGTTCAAGGGTTACAGAAGGTTCTTGAATGACTAAGGGTCCTTGTCGGTGCGGCTCTGTAACCTTGAGTGTAACCCAACCCCCTGTCCTATTCTCATTTTGCGTTTATCGAGAAGTTGATGTTCTCTTCTTCCGCCGCCATGGCGCCCAGCGTGGGCCGCGGCGAAACCTACCATGGAAAGCTCCTCATTGCCTGTCATCCACGATTGAGGTTGGGTTCAATCCTCAAAGGGTCACCACTGACCTCCCCGATAAAAAAGGGGAAGTTGAGGATGTCCAATGCAACAGGCAGTGTTTGGCTACCTCAGCAAACAATATTGCGACCCCACACACTACAGCAAGCTGGGGGAAATGATGCCTGGTCGCGTCAAAGTCTTTACTAGTTTGAGCTAAGAGAGTTGCAACCCCCCTCCCCCACCCCTGATAATTACAAGCAACCACAGGCAACCAGGCAGCCAACAATAAACCGCAACATGTTGCGCGACACGTTGCGCAACACATTTGTTCCCAGAATTTGTCAAAGGGCAGGAGACTACCCCAAGTGTTTTGAATGCCGCTACCTTAGGTCTGAAGCGCGTAACTTGTTGACGCAATGCCCCATTCGTTGCTGGTAAACACAGCGCCTCGCGGGCTGAATGCCACGCTGGGCTGCGTTAACTGAGGGTCCCGCCAAGTGTTTGATTTCCGCGCGCGTGAGCCCACCCTAATCGTATTTTGAAGGCACATAAGGAACCCTTTGTGGATGCTGTTGCCTCAGACAAGCTCTGAAATCTAACATCACTTGCTTGCGCTATAGTTATTACCCTGGCTGGGACTTCACTGCAGATTTGTGGTAACACTTTAGCAACTGGGCGCAATAAGCGGATGAGGCTTTTGTAAATGCTTTCTGGGAGAGATGCGAGGTTCTCGGAAACGGGACTTTGCACAATATGGCCTCTGGGTCTGCGAGTTTCTTGAAATGTTGTGGACCCTGGCACATTTGCAAAGCTTCTTAACAATTCAACAAAAGTTGCTCAGTTGCGTGTCGCTTTTTTGTCGTTCATGAGCGCACTATGCCAGCAATACATTTTTGATAATCTGGCGAGCTGCAGCGTGGAAGCAGAGTCATTTGTTTGTATGCGTTCTCGGCGTGCGCTAGCATATCTTGGAATCAACTCCGTGGCAGGAGATAAAAAAGAGATGCTAGAGCAGGCTCTGGTTTTTAGTGCGGTCAAAGGCAGAGTGTTCCAGTGTTTGTCTGGAAAAGTAGATCTTTTTGCCGGGAGTGGGCCTACCAAACAAACAAAGCTAAACACGCAACGTTAAAAAAACGTCTAAACAAAATAAAAAGTCAAGAAATAGGCAAGTCAAAAGCGGCAAGCGAATTACATCAACAAATCACCAACTACAATCACCAAATCAAACACACCAAAGATGAGCAGCCAGGTGAATAGATGGAAGCATAAATGACCGAGCAAATGCAGCATAAATTCATGCACGCATGGACAAATAAACAAAACAAGTTAGTTACTCAAATAAAATACGCGTGAACCAGTAAAAAACAATTATCCCGGCAAGAAACCCCAAACAGCGACGGGCATAAACAATCAAGCTGACCCGGCAGCCACGGGCTGGAAGGACATGGGCATCCTGCGGGCGCTTGTGTACCGACAACGGGATGGAGTGGGTGGTTTCCAGCATCTTCATGCGTGAAACATGGGGTTGGAGGCTTCCATGCCGCGCAACAAGCCGACTGAGGCACGGGACGCACTGCCAACTGCCCTAGATTTACGAGAGCAAGTCGCAACAACAAGTCGCAACAACAAGTCGCAACGCAAGCGCGTGGTTGGGGAATTATTAGTCACTGCAAGTTTCTGTACCTGTTTCCCGCAGCAAACTCTTCCACATCACTAGCAAACCGAGGAGCACACTTGCCAAACACTAAACAAACTTCATCCTGCGCAATACTGCCGAAACGCACTTCGACATCATACAACATCATGATTTTGTGGTAACTACCACGCAACATGCTCGCGGCCAGACTCGCGGGCCCCATTTTCTGCAAACCTGCGCAGTCGAAACGCAATTCGACATCATGCAGCATCACGATTTGGCGGTAAATACCACGCAAAATGCTGCAGGACACACTCACGGGCCTCATTCTGCGAAAGCATACAACATCACGGTTTTGCGGAAAATACCACGCAGAGTGCTCGCGGCCAGACTCGCGAGCCTCATTTTGCGCGAGCCTGCGCAATCGAAACGCGCTTCGGCATCATACAACTGAACAATGTTGCGGTAAATATCAGGCAAAGTGCTCCCGGACAAAGCCTGCGCAATCGAAACGAAATTCGGCATCATGCAACATCACAACGTGGCGGTAACTGCCACGCGAAATGCTCCCGGACAAACTCGGGGGCCTCATTTCGCGCGAGCCTGCGCAATCGAAACGCACTTCGACATCATACAACATCACGATTTTGCGGTAAGCATCTCGCAAAATGGTCCCGGACAAACTCGGGGGCCTCATTCACTTTGACATCATGCAACATCACGGTTTTGCGGTAAGCACCTCGCAAAATGCTGGCGGCCAGGCCGGGCACCTCGATCTAGCGCCGGGCCAGTACTCTTACCGCACGAACCCCTCAGTGGAAACACTGTTTGGGGAAACACAAATGTCAAGGACCCCTGCCAAAGGCTCCCGGGCAGAGCTCGCGCCAGCAGTTGCACTGCCATGAACGCCCCACGCCTCTGTTTGGTGGAGCTGTTTGAGGCGATCAGCAAAACACGCCAGGAACAATGAACTGAAACCAAAAGAATTCCATCTTTTGGCGGCATTTGCCACCAATTGGACACGTGCACGTGCGAAAACCTTGCCAGCCCAGAAGTTGCACCCGAGCCTTGGACACGATTCTTTGTGGCTAGCACCCTTTACTTAACCTGCCCATCCCAAAGGCCTGCCAACCGGACCTTGCTTCTTGGTACACCACCCCGCCCGCTATCTCATGAAGCTGGCCCAGGAATACCAAAATAGACATTCATGTAGGGGCCCTGGAGCGCCGGCTGCTGCTCCTTGGCGTCACCCGTCTCCGTGCGGCATCCAAGGGATTTGCGGCCTCCAGCTGTTGTGCAGCAGCTGCTCCTGATTCAGCTGAAGAACCTTGGCGATGCAACGGAAGAGGAAAACAACCATGAAAGGTGCGTCGTTTTGAGGAACACCCGCTTGTTTTGGCGCAAGGTTTTGGCATCAAAAAGTTACTTTTCTCTTGCCAAGCCCTGCATTGGTCTCACAAATCAACCATTACAACATGAACCTCCTTCTAGGGGACCTTGTTCTGGGTTCCGAGAAAATCCGCTCACCCCTTGTCTGCAAGGGCGAGGCGCGCGGGAAGGGTGGCTGGCGCATGAGCACAATCAAGGTGCGCACTATCCTTTCTTGTACGCCTTCCGACTGTCACGTTTGACATCGCTTGGGGAGCAGGGGGCGCTATGATGACAGTCATGATGCCATGGGTGATGACAATCATTATCAAGCATCGCTTCGACGTCAGCTGCCGCTGAGGTGGTTGCTTGTCGTTTTTGGCACCTTTGGTGAGATGGTTTTTTTCGGACATGCAGTAGCCGCTGGTTCGTGTTTCGAATTCCTCGCGAGACAAGCCCGGGTCATCATCATCATAGACCTCACATGCGTGTAAGACGCGCAAAACGTCTATATCACATAGACCTGATTTTCTGGGAGATGCGCAAAGAGTCTTCCGGCGCGGCGCGCCATGTGTAGGACCCTCAGGCGTGCTTGGCATCAGTGATGAAGTTGACATCGTTGACGAGGCATTGTGGAACGCAGGTATGATGGCACAGGGTCTCCAGCCCTACCTCGGTTATCATCGTAACACCCCCCTAGTGGTCACTCCCGTAACCTGTACACATGTATGCATAAGCCAAGGAAAAGGAAAATAAAATGATAGGTCATAATCCAGGCGATGGTCACGACGATAGCACCCAGCTCCGCAAGCACCATGATGACTATGACGGTCACCGTAGCACCTTTTGATGATCGCCATCGCCCGTGTCGCCATATGTATCATCGAGTCGTAACTGTTTAACTGTCATTGTGGCAACCCTGTGTCGCAAGCGGGACCTGATGATGAAGAGAACGTCACGGCGACGCCTAATGATGATCGTCATAATGACGATGACACAGTTGAGAAAATCACCAGGCGTCGCGGCGGCGTTCTGGTTGCTATCATGGCCTCTTGAGAGTCACAATCACAATGATCCTCACCAGTTACCGTCGTGACGATTGTCATACCCTGCTCGCAACGCTGGGGCTATCATCATCCTTGTCATATTAGCCGCGTCACAGTCAACATTGTGGTAATCGTCATCAGGGTCATGACCTTATTTCCCATATGTTTTAAAAGTTCGGCCCCACGTGCAATGCAGGGGCCACAACGCTAGTTGTCAGGACACAGCTGGGGATGCAAGCAGATGCTACGATGATAATTGCCAGGAGGACAACCATCGTCAGGCACTGCCGTGACGTTCTTTTCCTCAACAGGCCCCGCCTGCCATGCATGTGGCGCTTGCAGCGCAAACGCCTCTGAAGCTTTCACCTGCGCTAGCCAGGTGCGCCGACACACACTTGGAGTTTCACGTGGCTACAGAAGACATCCAGCGGGACAGGCTCTTCAGCGCCAATTTGCTACTCAAATGGAATGCGATTCCACACTGGGAGTCTGCGCTGGGAAAGCAGGGCATTTCCAGTCAGGCTCACAGAGGAAGCATCCGGATGAAAGCTTGCCTCAACCATGACTGCCTGACAAACAAATACCTGCACTGAGGGCGGCAAGAAAAGGTGGATCAACACCATGCCATCAAGCAGATCCTGCGCGGCTCTCAAGCCAATGGACATGTTTACAGCTACATCAACATCGAGAGCCTCAGCAAACCAGCCTAGCCGGGCTATCAGATCACCGAGTCTGGCAAGAAGTTATGGTTATGGCCTTCCATCAAGCATGCCAAGGATCAGCACGAGAAAGTCCTCACTCCTCAGCTAGGAACCAGCTTTTTTTACGCCCTTCAAGCAACAACGCTGTAATTCCGACCAAGGATGGGAAGAGAATGTCTTTTGCGGTCCACACCACGTCTGACCTCAGAGATGGACTGAGACGTGGCAAGAGAAGCTGAACATGTTCACTTCCTGACGCTTGCTCAAGCAGTCTCAGTAGCGTGCTCATCCGACACCATTTTTAGTTCTTCCTGCCCCCTCGAAGCCAACTTCAACAAGCACGAAACTGACTAGTTTGTTTACGCGCATCACTCAAAGGCCGCCGTTTAAAAAAAAACTCGGAGAAGAAGGCACTCAACAGGAGACACTGATGAGGACAATGCTTCCTCAACATCAGAGACCAGGAATACAAGGCCTATCAAGAAGAGGTGGAACTCTTTGACGTGGGCAACATCAAGGACATCATTGATATCCTGAAGGCCAGACACTTCGTTGAGACCATGACAGAGAGAAAAAGGCAGAAACGGAACTCAATCAGGCAAAGATCGTTCGTGGATAGCTTTGCCAACAACCCATCATCGCTGCAGGGCAGCCTCACCGTCCTTGAGATCAATTCCCTGGCGCAGATCAATCCGAAGAAGAACTATCCGGGCGATCGCTACTATGACAGGAAGTCCGACTTGCCAACCTTGCAGCCCAAATCAGGTTACCCGACAAGGCTCCCCGGAAGCAAGCGCATCACAAACTGCACAGACACCCACAAGATCAGAGCATGCACGAAGATCCTCCTCCAACCAAAAAACAGCCAGCACAAACCGGCACCGCGTTTCGATCCTCATCAATGCGGCAGCCTGACGAAGGGTCCACAGCTGGATGGCAGTGTCACCAGAAAATTCCCATCAAGCTGCAAGCCACAAGAGCGCCCGCGTCATACGCATCAATGAGGAAGATGCGATGATTCCGCGCTCAATGAGGAAACCATCGATCTCGTCAAGGAGTTCATCAACGCAGGCTTCAAGGGCATAGTTCTGAAGGCATGGGGAGCTAGAGCGATTGCGTGTTTCGTCCGAGGCAAGAAATAATCTGGCCGGTCATTAAGGACATGCTTTTTAGGCCTTTTTTTTGGGTGCTTTTTGTGGACCGAAAACCTTGTTTTTTTTCGGGTGTGCATACTTGTCAAAACAAGTCGTTTTTCGGAAAGGTTTTTTTTGCCGAAAATCTTGGGGAGGGAGGGGGGCCTTGATGTTTGGACAATCCGGTGGCTCAGAGAGCTGTTTTTGCTGTGTCAGCTGTTAGTGAAACTTGGCGCACGTGCTGCCATGGACATTTACGGGGTTGACGCTGACGAGCTCGCGCATTGCGTGGCGCTGCGTGTCATTGAAATGAAGATTGACGAGATTATTGTCAGGAAATGCAGCCGGGTCCTGCGGTTGATCATGGAAAGAACTGGGCGAAGAGCCGCGATGTTTCCTTTCGCAGTCGTTCTTGCTGGTATGGAGCGCGCGCTGATTTCGCCATTGCCTTCTGATGATATGGCCAGGGAGCCTCTTGTGCGGGATTTGTGCTCTCCAGGCTCTCCAGGACCAACGCAACTTCCACGCGTCACTGCTGAAGAGCGGGCCTTTGTGGAAGAGTCGACCCAGGTTCTGCACTTCTTGAACGAACTGGCCGACATTAACGAACCTTTTACACCATTAAAGATGCTGTTGGACAATGCTTATTTGACTTTGCGTAAGCTTGTCTGTTTACCCTTGAACTCTGACTGAACTTGCATCTAGAAAAGGCTGCGGAAACACAGCCTTTCCCCTGAGAGCCCGGCTCAGCTTAGGTTTTTGCTTTGCCTGAGAAGTTTGGCAACTCCTGAGTTTTACAAAGCACAAGGAAAAGCGTGTCTGCTTTGCTGCCAGCGTTGCGTGCGGCTCAGTGAGTTTTCGCCCGCCGCCTGCCCATTCGGTTCAACTGGCTCAGCTTCGGTTCGGCTTCAACTTGTTGAAATGTCCAGCTTTGTAACCAAAGCTGGCGAAGCCATGGCATCCAGGTACTTGGAGGAGGGCTCAGCTGGCATTGTGCGGGGGGATTGCCTATACAAGTTGGCGGAAGACATCCAACGAATCACTTGCGGGCAACCAGACAAGATCCCTTTCTCGATGCTCATCAAGGTCTGCGAGACTCTGGGCCCTCTGTACAAAGACAACCGGATGAACTCCAAGATCATCAGCAAGTGCTGCGCCACATGCACTGTGCTTGAACACTTTTTTTGTCACAAGACACCGGTGACTGATGTGCGCTACAAGGACGTCTTGTGGATGTTTGATGAGTACGAGATGCTGCGGCCGATGAAGGGGAAGCTGAACAAGGTTAAGCTTGACGAGCTGCGCACTCTCCATGACCAAATGTTGCAGGTGAGCGAGGCCCTGGATGTGTGGGGCGGTCTTGCCGCTGGCCACGACGCAGAGTGTGTGTTTCTGGCCATACTCTGGCCAGTCCATGTCCTGATACAGGACTTGCAGCCGGTGCTTCGAGAGTTCATATACGAACACACTGCGGCAACACAGTGAGTGTTTGGGCTGAGCTTGAGGGGCTGCTGCAGCCTGAGAAACGATGTGTTTGCTGCCGCATGCTTGTTTGCAGGCAAGAAAAAGAGCACCTGGGGCAATATTTGTCAATTTGAGATGCTTTTTGTGCAATTTACTTTGCAGCGCTCTGGTCCAAACTGGCCTTTTTTTAGGGGAGCCATGATGGAACAGTCACCTGCGTTGCGCGCCATGACCGAGGCTGGGGCTCGACGACGGAAGATCGAGGCATTGAAAACGCAAATGGAACACCTAAAGGAAGAGTTGCAGATGGTGGTAGCTGTTGAGATCCTGATGAGGCAGGAGTACCACAATCTGGATTCGGCGCTGGACCTCATCGAGGAGTTCCAAAACACGCGCAATGGCAGGCAGCAGCTGTTTATTGATTCTGAGAGGGGCAGAGACTTTTCAGGTTGAGTCTATGCGCAGGATGTCGCTCCGCATGTGGCAGACGGCAATGGACACCACGGAGGTCATCGATCACAAATTGTGGCAAAGCACGCAGGAGCTGGAGAAGTTAGAGTCTGAATTGCGCCGGCGATAGATGTCCCATGTTTATACTGCCGGAGTTCCACGCAG